AAGGTAATGGTATACACAGAAACTCAGGATGTGCTGAGCGGCAGATCATTGTCGCTCACTTGGCAAACTCGGGAATGAGGCAGATGGTCGTTGGATCCTTGTTTTCGGCTAGCTATTTCATGTTGTGCCCAGTTTACATACAGCCGCTCACCGAGATGGAGATGATGGAGACTCGGGAAAGATTCGGCATTGTGGGATAGAGATATAGCGGAGCTTGCCGATGAAGACAAACATCTGGGGAAGCTTGGGGAAATGATCACCCGCTTGATGATCATCAGGGCAGGGCCGTAGCGCCAGAGCAGCTTGGTCGGATGTGGTGACTCGGCCCGTTGATATGACCTTTAACCACGGCACGCCTCCGTGGACCGGCTCTCCGGGGCAGACGGGTCATGGAGTCCCATTCCGACGATGCAGCACAGACGTCCGGGCCGTATTCTCATCGGAATCAGGCAAATGCGGGGCATGCTGCCGGTTCAGCGATCCCGTGGTTTCCCTGACTCGACTATCACGAGCAGGAACACAGCAGCTTGGAAACGAAGGAGGCAAATAGACGACAAACGTGATTTCTCTTGCGAGTATGTGTAACTCGGATAGTCTTTCAAGTCCAGTCAGAGTAGAGATAACACGGGTTTTTGGTCTCCATTGCTGCGAAGACGGCATACACCATCCTCCCACTGTGTGCCCTGGGTACCACGATCATCAGCCTTCATCTCACAAGCAAATACCCAGTCACCCGATGACGGGACTGTGGCACTGTCATGAAACCTACGGATGAGTCCTTGTGAGCTTGTGTTCGCCTAGTTGTGCCATATCTGCGGCTCGGGGAGTATCGGCATCGTGTCATGAATGGCTGGATCCGCTTGCTTCCCTTAGCCGGGCCCGATTCGATGCGTCGTTTTGACACGAGAAGTTGTCACTGTCCGCGAAGTGAAGTTGGCACTGTCTAATAGGAACGGCAGAACCCCGCGATAATATCGCCAAAAAACCGGTAAGTCTCCGGCAAAACTGAGACACCTCCACGCCGTCTCCACGCCAAAGTTGTCTGACGGGATTTCGGGACGATGTTCAGCTTCGCCTCCAATTTCAATGAGCCAATCAAGAGCTGGAGGGTGGACACCAAGCTGGAGAAATGACGCTAAAGGGGGGAAGCCACCCGAGCTTCTCCCGGTGAATGAGGGGCAAGAAGCTCCCACGGCGTGATAACGTGGGGTAGAAATGCGCTACCGACCGGACGGCCGGTCGCCATTGACGCACCTGACCGCGTCTTTCAAGGTCTTGGGTTTCTGACCTCTCTGGGCATATGTTCCTTCGTTTTATGTATTGGTAATTGGGAGAAACCGCACTCCACCTTTCTTCTCCCCGGCTGAATTGCATGGAGGGGCGCATGGCAGCATGACGGGAGAGAGAGAAAACAGCCGCTGCTACCCTGGTAGCTACCGGATACTGCATGCAAACATGGCCTTCTGATTGCTTGCTTGCTTTCCGTTTCCCCGCCGTCTACCCGGCATCGGTGTGTCTTCCTCCATCTAACTAGTGTAGCTCGTCACCCAGAAACACGCGGGACCTCAGTGTGGGTTGCTGGCCTCTCTTCCCGAGCTAATGTACCTTGAAGCCAAGTAAGAAGAGGGAATCCAGTCCCGCGTCGTCCGGAGTTGTCCCGTTGTCCACAAGCTCTTCGATCTTCTATTTAACAGCGGGACCCTGCTGCGAAGATGATCCAGTCTTCCCTCCTCTCGATCTTGGTCCTCGGCGCTTCATATTCCCAACTTTTCTTGTCTGTTCCTCTTTACTCCCTGTCCAAGTTCAAACCCGGCCGGCCTCTCGTAGAATTGTAGTCATTCTAAAGATACCCCCCATCCATTCTTACTCACAATGGCCGACTTTGACGTTGAAGACGTTCTCAAGAAGCTCACCGTATCCGAGAAGGTCGACCTTCTCGCCGGTAAGACAGCTCCCGTCTCTCTTGCGGAATATCTTTTTACCCAATTGCGGAATCTTCACCACAGCACTTAATGAGATTCAATGGCAAGCTAACATTCGATGCTCCCCAGGTATCGATTTCTGGCACACCAAGGCCCTGCCTAAGCACAACATTCCCTCCATCAGACTCTCCGACGGACCCAATGGCGTACGCGGCACCAAATTCTTCAATGGCATCAAGGCAGCTTGCTTCCCTTGTGGAACGGCCCTTGGTGCCACCTTCAACACCGAGCTCCTTGAGGAGGCCGGCAGGAAGATGGGAGAGGAGGCCAAGCTCAAGGGAGCTCACTGCATTTTGGGCCCTACCATCAACATGCAACGCTCCCCTCTCGGTGGCCGAGGATTCGAGTCCATAGGCGAGGACCCTGTGTTGGCTGGCCTCGGCTCCGCCGCCATTGTGAGGGGTATTGAAAGCACTGGCATCCAGGCGACGCCCAAACACTTTGTGTGTAACGACCAGGAGCACAGGCGCAACGCCGTCCAGAGCATCGTGACGGAGCGCGCCCTTCGCGAGATCTACGCGCTTCCGTTCCAGCTTACCTTCCGCGACGCCTCACCGGGTGCTCTCATGACTGCCTACAATGGAGTCAACGGTACATTCTGCAGTGAGAACCACGATCTGCTGGAGAAGCTGGTCCGCAAAGAGTGGGGCTGGGACGGCATGATCATGAGCGATTGGTACGGAACCTACAGCACCACGGAAGCGGCTAATGCCGGTCTCGATCTCGAGATGCCTGGGCCTCCTCGCTTCCGTGGAGAGCCTCTTAAGTTCAATGTGTCGACGGATAAAGTCCGCCAGCACATTCTGGACGAGAGAGCTCGCGCCATGCTCAAGTTCATCAAGAAGGCTATGGCGACCGGCATTCCTGAGGGTGCCCCTGAGAAGACGGGTGACACACCAGAGACCGCCGAGTTGTTGAGGCGCATTGGTGGCGAGAGTATTGTCCTGCTCAAGAACGATGACAACGTGCTGCCCCTGAAGAAGGACAAGAAGGTGAGCATGTTTCCGAGTAGACACTTCTGTCACGAAAGTAAGCACACTGACTTTGAGACTCACAGACAGTTGTCATTGGCCCCAACGCCAAGATCGCCACCTACCATGGAGGTGGTTCCGCCTCCTTGGCCGCCTACTACTCCGTCACCCCCTTCGACGGCATCAGCAAGAAGCTCACCTCGCCCCCAGAGTACACGGAGGGTGCCTACTCCCACAAGCTCCTGCCCCTCCTCGGCAATGTCTGCACGACAGTTGACGGAAAGCCCGGCATGACCATGCGCGCCTACAACGAGCCCCCTACGGACCACAGCCGCGAGGCCATCGATGAGCTTGTCCTCACCAAGACAGAACTGCTCCTCGTTGACTACTACAATCCCAAGCTCAAGGGCGACCTCTGGTACGCCGACTTTGAGGGCTCCTTCGTCGCTGAGGAGGACTGCACCTACGAGCTCGGCCTCATCGTCTGCGGCACGGCCAACCTCTTTGTCAATGACAAACTCGTCATTGACAACTCCACCAAGCAGCGCCAGGGCGATGCCTTCTTCGGCGCCGCCACTGTTGAGGAAAAGGGCCGCGTCGAGCTCAAGAAGGGTCAAAAGTACACCTTCAAGGTCGAGTTCGGCTCGGCCCCGTCGTCTAAGCTGCAGGGCGACAACGTCGTCTTTGGCAGTGGCGCCCTCCGCATGGGAGGATGCAAAGTCATTGACGCCAAGGCCGAGATTGAAAAGGCCGCCGCCCTCGCCAAGGACGCCGATCAGGTCATCATCTGCTCCGGCCTCAACGCCGACTGGGAGACGGAGGGCAACGACCGTGCCGACATGGACCTGCCGGGCTACCTCAACAAGCTCATCTCCGCCGTCGCCCAGGCGAACCCCAACACGGTCGTCGTCAACCAGTCCGGCACCCCGGTGCGCATGCCGTGGGTCAAGGATGTCAAGGCCCTAGTCCAAGCGTGGTACGGCGGCAACGAAACGGGCAACGCCATCGCCGACGTGCTCTTTGGAGACGTCAACCCCTCGGCCAAGCTCTCCCTCAGCTTCCCCGAGCGCGTCCAGGATAACCCGGCCTACCTCAACTACCGCGCCGAGGCCAGCCGCACGCTGTACGGCGAGGATGTCTACATTGGCTACCGCTACTACGAGTTCCTCGACCGCCCCGTGCTCTTCCCCTTTGGCCACGGCCTGTCGTACACGACCTTTGGCTTCGGAGACCTCAAGGTCCGCGAGGGCGACGGCAAGCTTGCCGTGGACGTGACGGTCAAGAACACGGGCAAGGTGGCCGGCGCCGACGTTGTCCAGGTGTACGTTGCACCCAAGCAAAAGGCAAAGATCAACCGCCCGCTCAAGGAGCTCAAGGGCTTCGCCAAGGTGTCGCTTGTGCCTGGCGAGAGCAAGCAGGTCACGGTCAACATTGAGACCAAATACGCCGCCAGCTACTTTGACGAGGAGCGGCACCAGTGGTGCGCCGAGGAAGGCGAGTACGAGGTCATTGTCAGCGACAGCAGTGTCATCACAGACAAGGCTCTCAAGGGCAGCTTCAATGTCGGCGAGACGTTCTGGTGGTCTGGTCTGTAGAAGAATCCATGTGTCACGAGATAAAAGCTGGGAGCAATGGCCGGGAGAAAATGTTTAGGATCCGCAAGACTGGATGAATGAATGATTGATATTTATGCATGATAATTTGCTTCGTAGTCCAGCCAGAAACGTCCGTTTGATAGAGATATTGATGTTTACATATATCCGTCGCAAATTCATGCTGCGTCATATCTTTCGTGCATTCGTAATCGTCACGCGCCAATTTCAGGCGAAATGTCCGTGGAAACCTTGAAATCACAAAACAACCTCCCCGCCGAGGATCAAGTGCAAGCCTGGTACTGCGACCTACGCCGCACTTTCGCTTTTCCGCCTTATATCCTCATCCGAGCTCGGTCTTATACTAGACTCGGTTGGGTGTGAATCAGTCGGGGGTAGCCAGGGCTCAGCGTCACCCAGTCTTTGGACAGTTGTGCCCGCATTCCCGGCATTCTTCATCCCGGATTCGAGCTGACGCTGATAAGAGATGCGACGGAGGCGTTCAGCCTCTGCGGGTGTCAAATGAAGCTGTTCATCCCGTTAGTCTTTATGTCTTGTAGGCTTCAAAATGGCGACACGCAAATGGCACAAGGTGAATGACCAAAAAGTGAGGGGCCATAGAGAGTGGAAAAGGGGGGGAAACATACGTAAAGTTCAACAAGTACAGCGTGGATCGCCAAGGCTAGCCATGATCCCGAATCAAATACGGCTGTGAACCCGGCTGAAATCTCGGCAGGCTGGTGAGCGGTGATGCTCGCATGGACAAGGACGCTGAGGCCGGGATTTTCCCCCGAGTAGTACCCATTGCAGCCAGGATAATAGTCGAGGACCTTGTTCTGGTCGTGACGGAAGATGAAATCCACCATGGCGCACTGTTTTACTTGATAGTAGTTCGACTCGGCTGTGATCATGGCAGCGAGGTAGCCGATGATGCGCATAGTGATGATGAAGCCGGCCTGCGGTTAAGAACAGCTTCGTTAGCTCACGTACAGCAGAATGATACGTGTCTTTCTTTCTTTGGGAACAAGAGATATCTTACGTATACCCAGGCTCTGAGCATCCATGCCCGGTGCTGCTCGATCTGGAGTTTCTTGATGTTGTAGATGGCAAGGGCAAGGGCTCCGAGGAACATGAGGCTGGCGGTGCCAGAAACCGTCTGCATGCTCACGCCCCCGCCAAACGTCCGCCGTGCAATGAGAAAGACGCCAATGATTCCCACGATACTTAAGAGAACGATGAGATACCCATTCAGGCGGTGGAACAGGATGGCCTTGCGACGTATAATTGGGACGAACTGTAGACAGGCAAGAAAGCCTGCCGGTATAACACCCGCGAGGTGCATGATGATTCCGATTCGTGCCGTGCCTTTCTGGAAATAGTAGCACTCTCCCGGGAGCGCCCTCGAGTCGTGTTCCGGGTTGCAGAAGACGCCGTTGAAGTTGAAGTACATCATGCGGGCGAGGGTAAATCCCATCATACCCCCCGCGGTGATGACAAAGAGGGTGAAGTTGTACCCCTTCTTGAACCCGATGGGGTTATAGACCTTGCGCGCCAGGGCAACGAAGCCGTTGGCGGGGGGTTTTGAGCATGGAGAAGAAGCTGACGACATGATGGAAGGTGACTCTCGTGAGGTCAGGCGAGATTGAGGTGAGCTGAAGTGAGACAGCGCCGCCACTTTTCTCGCTTCCTTCTGTCTGTTGAAGAACGGGGGAAATGAGCTGCTCAGTCACAGATGAGCCTGAGCTAGGTTTAGGAGAGGGGAGGGCCCTCATCATATATGCTCAAAAGGAAAGTTCTGGCCCTGAACAATTACCGGGGTCTTGAGCCAAGGCCCCAAAGGATGAGAGGCGCTGCCTTTCTTTGTCAAAGCAGGGGTCAAGGGCAAACAGCAAGCAACAGTGGGCGAATGGCTTCACTCGATTGTCCACAACGCAGCAAACAGGGCAGGGTATGGCAGCATCAACCACCGGTTCTCCCGTAAAAGGCGCATCATGGGGGCCGGGCACGTAGGATTGGCCGTCTTGACAGCACACCGAAGCCATGTCTCACGTGTTGCATGTCACCATGAATTCTGGACAAGCTTAGCTTGGAGAGTGCTTCCACATGAGGACGTTGCAACTCTGCTCAACGCATTTCCCTCGGCCGAGTAGGTGGGAACAAACGGCCCCTTCGAGGACCAGAGCGTCCTTCTAGACTTGTGTCGGGGGCTGCTCCAGCCTCCTCAGTGGCAGGCGGCTAGATGTCAAAGGCTCAAAGCATGGGGGGCCCCTAGAAGCAGGTTACAGGTGGCGTCCGGGAAGGCGTTACGGGACCTGAACTAAGAAGCCTATCGGTAAAGGTCAAGCAGCCAGCGGCAAAGAGGACCATTGACGGCAATTGGACGGACTAGGCTGGACCTCGCAAAGCCTCTCGCAATCGTAAGCAGTCCTCGGCCATCTCTGAGTGCCTTTTGGCGGGTGGGAAAAGACCTGACGTGCATGTTGGCGTGTGTTGTACGGCATGCGGCCGTACGGACGGGATCGAATGCAGGCGGGCCGCATTAGTGCCGATACGGAGGGCGGGGCCGGGTCAAGAAGAGGTAAGATGGTTTAATGCGCCCCGTAGCGGTGTGCATGTGCCTCGTCGAGGTTCGTCACATCTGTGATCCATCGTAGGACCGTATAGGCGGAATCCGGGCCTTAGAAACGTTGCAGTATGGTCTGCGAGCGACGAACCGCGCTGCAGACGGCTGCTCGCCTCGCATTTCGCCGCTACTGGATGCGTGCCACCAAGTGCGATGCCACTGCCGCCGTCTTCCGGCGCAGAAATAGACGTATACGATGAGGTAGCCAGGCGGCGGATAATGAGCGGCTTGGGAAAAGATCAGTAGGAAATGGGCCCTAGTTGACCGAACCACATACCTCGTCATTCAGTATCCTTGAGAGCCAGGAATATAATGAGTTCATTGTCCCGAATCCCAGAGAAGCGAGATTCACCTTCCACCGGTCTGCTGGGCTACATTGGTCTAGCAGCTAGGCAGTCAGACGGCGGTTTGAAGTTGGCAAACAATTAAGCAAGGGGTCTCTATCCGATCATTTGTCCACTTGATCTGGGTGGACTGTGACCGACCTAGACCGTTGATGGGCGTTGAGAATTGGGGCTTTGACGTGGAGTGAGGAGGTTAGCAAGCATGGCAAGGAGGGGAAAGCGATTTTTGGTCAGAAAAAGGAAGCATAAAGTGGCCCATCGCCGAGGCTTCTTCTCCTTCTCCTTTTCATCGCGCCATCAGATTTTTCCACACTAGTGTCTGATCAATTGAGGTAGGGCCGTAGGAGGTACGAGTTAGGAGTCCGTATGGGCAGTTGCGCAGGCGTGATCGAACAAGGTATCTGATTGAAATCAACGTGAGAGAAAGGAAGAAAGAGAGAGGGAGAGAGACAGGGAGAGAGACAGGGGAGAGACGCCGGAGGGAGGCACAGAGGTTGGAAGGTGACTGCGGTACGTACCCTTCCGAGTATCCACCTTCCTGGTTCGCTTCAGGTCGTTCGGTATCCACTCCCTCCGCCAACTCTCGATTAACGCGTTGCCGTCCTGCCGCATCCGCACCCGCGCCCCGGCCGCGCCTCCGTCCTCAATCGGCCCACGTCTCAACTCATCTGAGATCCAAGCATCCAAATAAGCTCCTGCCAAACGCGCATTATACGCAACACACACACACAGACACACACACACACACACACACACACACACACACACACACACACACACACACACACACACACACACACACACACACACACACACACACACACACACACACAACTCTCTCTCTCTCTCTTTCTCTCTCTCTCTC